GATTTAAACCATACCAGCTAGTATTTAAAGTTGCAATAACTCTTGGCCCAGTACTCGTCCCAGTCTAGGATTTTGTACAAATAATAGGGAGTAGTCTCGTTGATTTTCACTATATAAAATGTTATGTCATATTAAAGGACTATTTTAGAGCTGTTTTAGCTTAATTATTTTTGAGATATTTATAATTTAATGAAGTGTATTTTAAAATTTTGGCATTTTTATAGATGGGCATATATAAAAAAGTAAGTTGATTTGAAAAGTAAAATTTCCCATTTTTATTAGTGTATATGCTACCAACATTCAAATTTTTAAAAAAATCGAAGAGGGTCGGGTTGAGAATCGAGTTTTTTTTGGTTGTTTTAATATGGAATACAACCAGAGTTGGGCAGTACCGTGAATACTTGTTTCTAAGATACAAGATCCTTTTGTATCTTGTACTCAGTATCTTATTGACATTTTTAATAAGATATTAGTATCTGTATCTAAGATCCTTTATTTTAAAAAGAATCTTGTATCTTTTTTATTTTCTTTAAAAAGATACAGATACAGATTCTTTTTAATATTCATGTTTAAAACATTTACATATCACAAATGTAACTTTATTTTCTTTGTTAAATCTTGTATTATTTTCTTTATTTTTTCCCGCTATATAAATAAAATATATTGTATTGATAACCAAAATTAGTTGGAAATTTTACAGGTCATAAAGATAGATAGATTAAAAATAACAACACCAAAACTAAATAAGAGAAGGATATATTTTATATGTAATATTTTTTAATTTGTAGAATGTTTAACAATCATAGTAGTGAAGATGAAATTATGGAGATTCAAATCCGAATCTTAAAATTCTAGATGGAAAATTTTTCTAAAGTAATTCATGTGAAAAAGAACAAGGTACAAGCTGAATGTCAAAATTGCACAAGTAAAATAGTTATTAAAGGTTCAACAAACTCCTCGACAAACTTTGTTAAACATATTAAAATATATTATACATTTTTATTTTATAATTATTAACATAATAATACCTATACTTAGACCTGTGCGCCGGCCGGCTTTTTTGGGTATGCCGAAAACGCCGCCGTTTATGAAAATTGCGCCAGCGCGCCGCCGATTTTCATATTGCGGCGTACGGCCGGCGCAGAATTTTTTTTCATATTTTATACCTTTTTATTCTAATAAGTGGTCAACATCACTTTTGTAATTTTATTAATGCCAATCAGGATTTTAATGAATTTTTATTCTACATGTTTTTATTATATAATAGGAATTAATAAATTAAAATAGTTATTAAATAGTAATATATTTAAATTATATTTCACGCACTCATTAAATTTTCTGTATTTATTTTATGAATATATAGCTCCACCATAATCTTCTACAATTTTAAAATTATGATTATATTGATGTTATTATAAAATTCACTCCACCATATCCTTCTACAATTTTAAAATTATAATTATATTGATGTCATCATAAAATTCACTCTACCATATCCTTCTACAATTTTAAAATTATAATTATATTGATGTCATTATAAAATTGAATCATTCAAAGTTACCATAATTTTACATATTTTAAAAATGGATGCATCAACATTTAATAATTCTGTAAATAATTTTAGTATTATAACAGTAAATAATAAAAATAAAAATTTTTTTGTTTGGAAATTTTTTGGTTTCTTACATTTAAAAAGAGATAATAAAATAATTTCTATAAATTAGGACAAATTTTATTGTAATTCTTGCTTGGAAAAGGCTATTGTAGACGATGAGGATTCAAATAAGTCATTTTCACAGTATATTTTTTTTAAATATTATACCCTCATATTAAGCCAAAATCTTTAATAAATTAAAATATATGTTTTGTAAAATATAATCTAGCTATAGAATTCAAAAAATCAATATTAGCACAGGAAATTTGTTAAAACACTTGACTTCTGATCATAATATTAAAGAAGATATTTCATCAAAATCACAAGATTAAAAAAAATATTTTATGTCCAAACCAAAATTCCAGACAAATTCTAAAACTTCTAAAAAATGGCTTTTAGCAAGAAACTATGTGTTATTATGTTGTGCTGACTTATTACCTTTTCAATCAATTGATAATATAGGAATGAATGTTGTTTTTTTTCTATTGAAATAGCATTGGCTGATGAGGACTAGGTTTACAATAGTTGAATTTCATAGCCATGCTAATAATATGATTTACACATAGACATGAATGATTTAAATAATATTAAATTTGTTCTAATAACTAATTTATTGTTTGATATAAATTAAAGATATAATAATTTTCTGTTATAAATTTCAAAATACTTAATTTTAGAAATATCAAGTTATCAACTATGATTCTGATTTGCTAGACAGGACAACACTAAGCCGTACTGCTCTTAATGATGTTTACCTATCAATGAAAGGATATGTACAAGAACAAATTAACTCAGGGCCAAAATTTTTCTCAATTACATTGGATATGTGGACAGATCAATATAGAAGAAGAAACTAAATTACATTTACACTTCATTTAATAAATGATTTGAAATGATTTACTTTACCTTAGCAACTCAATATATAACCCAAAAACACACAGGTGAGACTATTCTAACTGAGATTGAGAAAATAGAAGAGGAATTTAATTTAAAAAAAGAAAAAAATACAAATGGTTACAGATGCTGGGCCTAATGTTAGAAAGGGTGTTCGATTAGTTAAATATGAACACCACTTATGTTTGGGTCATGGTTTACACAATCTTGTTACAGTAGATGGTATAAAAAAGGTACTTTTTGTTGAAAATCTCATAAGAATTAGAGAAATTATTACTGCTCTCCCATTTATATCGGGTCAAATTTTATAATATTGGCCGATAACCGATATTTTAAAATGAATGAAATCGACCTGATCCGACAAAAAATATCGGCACATCACTAATTTATTTTATATATAATTATTTTAGCAAGTTCTTATTAGAGGAAATATCTAAGCTACAATTGATATTTACATTAGATAATTTTAAAAGGCTCTTAATAAAATAATTATAATAAGGTAGAATTTATCTTTATTAGTTACTTTTATTTATTTTTGATATAAGTAAAATTACATTAGAGTATTTATTTACAAAATTTAATCAATTTAAAATGCATTAAATAAAATTGTTATGTATTTAATAATTATAATATAATGTTGTACATTATTTTCATATTTTTTATATATAATTAATGATTTTGCAAGAATTATATAAAAAAAATTTGAAAAGAGATTTAAATGATATTTAAATATACGATATTACAAACGCAAGAATTAATAAGTCATATTAGAAAATAAACTAATTTAAAAAATACATAAATATCACAAACAAATAATGATAAATACTTATTAAAGATAATGAATAAAACTAATATATTTTTTTTAGAGATGCCATTTAACCATATACTCCGAATATATGCTATATTTAAAACAACACAGAAAATAACCTGCAAATTCTAATAAATCATTTGATTTAATTTTTTTTTCTTATTTGCAAATTTTCAACTCCCATTAAATATACTACTCTCCCTTTCCTGTTTAAGCTATTAATGGGCAAAAACTAATATTAAATTCCCTGGTTATTATAATTAATTCATTAATAAATATTTTATTAATTATTGCAAATATTCATTCTTATATGTGTATGCTATATTCTTCACAAATAAATAATAAAAACTGTATTTTATAAACTATTCTTATTTAATTGGTAATGATAATTTAAAAGTATCTTGTAGATACTCTAGTTAAAGATACAAGTATCTTTTATCTTGTATCTTTTTGATATTTTTAAAAAGATACTAGTATCTATATCTAAGAATCTTTTTTTATAAAGAATCTGTATCTAGATTCTTTTTCTGGAGGACCTGCCTAACTCTGAATACAACATATATAATGTTGTATTAGATAAAGTGAACAATTTCGTTGAATAAAATTTAATGAATATAATATTTTTGATTGACTTAAAAAATTGAATAATTTTTTTTAGATCACTTCATACTTTGAATTTTAACATTAGAATCCTAACTACGCTTTATGTACACCTTACATAATTATGACATGATAAAATGTAACTATATCTAGATTCATTTTTAGGCGATGTATCGATACCTAGATAAATTTTTATCTAGATACATTTGAAAAGTATCTTTTTATCAATAATTAGTTCGTGTTTGTACATTTTAGTGCTTCAACCCGTTTGATAGAAATTTTAAAGAAAAACGCATTATTTGCAAAATAAAAAAAAATTATTCTAATAGTATGCATTTTAGTTTAAGGTTTCAATCCTTTGGTACACAGTACAAATAAAAACACATTTAGCAAAATAAGAAATTTCTAATATTTGTATCAAGATTCAAGATGGAACGAAAATTTTATGAGTACTAGAGAAATTAAAATTATAAAAAAATTAAGTAAACAGAATATTTATAAAAATAACCATCATTATAAAAAAATCAACTTTTTATCATATTCAATGTCTGGCTTTATGTATAACTTTTATAATTTGTAGACGTAGCATAAAAGTAGCCAACTTGACTTGCATCTTTAAAATGTGATACCAAAATAAGGATTAATTAAGATGAAATTGTAAACGATTACAATAAATTATTTTATTTTTTGCCCTCAAGCGCTAAGGTTGAACGATTGTTAGTAAAATAATTCTATGCTAAATGTTCTTTCACATTTGGAAATATAAGTCATATGAGCGTCCCATGTAAAAAATCTATTTGAAAAATAATATGATTATAATATTGTTTATTCATAGATTATTAGGATTTTCTCACATATTTTTTAAAATAGAAGAAATTTTTGGGAATATTTTAAAATAGAAAGTTCAATTTTAAAGAAATGGAAGTTTTTGGATATCAATATAAAATTGTCATAAAATTTTACCTTATCATATTTTTTTGATGAGGCCCCTAGGTTATTCAAATATTACTAATAATATTTTATATAAATAATTCCACTAAACAGAGTGCCGCCGTCGTAAGAGTATAGGAGTCGAACGCACAGTAGCCCGCTGCGATGCCCGCCATGATTCTGCTCTAATCTATGAAATCTGTGCCGAGTTATGCCGGACTTTGGCACACGATTTGCGGTCCCGTCAACTAACCGGTTCCCTACTTACCGTTAAAATTAAGGTTAATTATGTAAACCATCATTATTTAATTGCAAACGCGAAAACGATATTTTTACAATAGTAAATTATCGTAAACTAATTTTTATTGTTGTTATGAACCTGCAAAAATTAAAAGTCATCCAATTTTCGCGTAATGACGCGCGTCAAACGCCTTCCACGAGCAACTAACGATGAGGTTCTTATGTTGAATTATGCTTGGGATTTGATCAGGCCTGAATTGGAAGCGGCTAAAAAGGCGGCAGCGATTGAAAGTTTATTTTATTTTTTAAAGGACTTGAAGGTAATGTTTTAGATTAAATTTCTGCAAGGCCGCCCCCGGGCCGGTGGTAGCATCATCATTTAAATATAGGCCCATGATCCGAGAAAATATAAATGCTATATTTCCTTCTTATTCTTCCTTTTTTGCCTGAATAAATATTAACAATTATAAAATGAATTTTAAAAATAAGTAAGTTTTTAAAAAGATCAAGAGGTGGGAATTTATATTATACTTTGTAATATAGAATAAAATAATCATCAATAAATTATTGAATATTTAAATTTAAAATATAACAATAAAATAGAGAAAAAAATTAATATTTTGAGTTTGAAATTTTTTACATACATGCTTATAAAAAAACCAGGCAGTGGAGGCCACAGACTGGGCTAGATCTAATATTATAGACTTGAAAATCTCACGTTTTTTAATAACTTATAAAACCCCTTATCTATTCGTACAGAATTGTATTCATTGCCTGAGTGTTCATCTACTGTCCATCTTCATTTTGTACAGCTAGTAACGAGTTGTTATGAACGATAAAAGCTGATTAGATACAATATCGCATTAGGTTATCTCCATCCCATGCCCAGCATCGTTTGGCCGTGATTAGATATAGGGTTCTCTTGTTCCTTGACCTTCATATCTTCTTGTTGGGCCTCTTTGTCTTTCGTCGGTATTGTTCATCATTTCTCTATATAACATTGTAGCTTCTTCTCAGGACAAATTTAACCAATTCAGGATATATCTGAACTACTTATCTCTAATTTCTATACTTATTATTTTTTTGCCCAACGATGCCATCTAAAAATATTGCAATCTTTAATTTTCTTTATATAATAAAATATCGATCAAAAATATGTATACTCTTTTAAAAATAAAAATTTTATAAATATGCACGAGTTGCTAACGGCCATATCGGATTCGATACAATATCGCATTAGGTGATCTCCGCCCAGCCTCATTTTGACCCTGATTGGATACAGGGTTCTATTGTTCCTTGGCCTTCATATCTTTTTATTGGGCCTCTTTGTCTTTCGTAGTAATTGTTCTTAGTGTTGCTAAACAGCGCGTTTTAAATTAAGAGGTTAGATAAAATAATATGCAAGCCTCAGGATCCAGATTTCGTTAATAGATATCTAAACCTCACTGCCATCTATGAGCAAAATAACCAGGTTTGTGTAATATTTTTTGGCTAAAATATTGTGTAAACCGTTTTTAAAAATCGATCCGTTTAACAACACTAATTGTTTATTATTTTTCATATAACCTTGTGGCTTCTCGGGCTAAATTTAACTAATTTCGGGATACCTCTGAACCATCTGGTTCCATGTCAATTCAGCGAAACTTTTATCGCTAAACACTTTTTCACGAAACTTTTATCGCGAATCCACATAAGCGAATACTTTTCCGCGAAGACAATATAGCGAAACAAATATCGCGAATTTTTTATAGCGAAACTCTTATCACGAAACCTTTAAAGCGAATACATTAGAGTAAATTTTATCGCGAAAATTTTATAGCGAGGTCAATATCGCGAAACATAAATCGCGAAGACATTATAGCGAAAACTATTTCGCGAAATATAACGCGGCCTATTATTATTTTTTATTTTTATTAAAACAATTTATTTTATTAATATTTAATGTTAAAATTTTATTTAACATATTATATGATATATATTTTTTATTTATATTATGAAATGAAGAAATGAAATGAAAAATAAAATGGATTGCTTCTATTTGATGTTTTTTTAATAAAATAAATGATATGCTACTATTGTAAATTATTTTTGTTACAATTTATTAGTGATTTTCACGACCAAAATTTTAAACAAAAAGTATTTTTTAAGTTCAAAAATATTTTTGAACATATTTTGATAAAAATTTTAAATCTTTTTTGAGGAATTCTTTTGTGAGATTTATTATAAATAAACAATCTTTTAGGTAAAATCTTTTATAGTTTTTTTATCATTTTTGTAAAATTATCTATTTTTTATGTATATTAAAAAAGGTGGGTTTTCTAAATAATATTTTTTTAAAAATATTTTTATTTAACTTATTTTTGTTATTTCATATGATCTTTTTAAGAAAAATAATTTAATCTGACAATTTTTATATTCGTTATTGAAGATGTTCCTTGGAAAAATGACAATTATCATAATCGGTGTTTTTAAACATATTAGATTTTTTTACGGTAAAATATATGTATTTTAAACATGTTAAATAAAAATTTCAATTAAGATGCACCATATAAAAGTGACAATTATCATAATCGTTATTTTTAAGGTTTTTTAGATTTATTGACGTAAATCTGCTTAAATAAGTATTGTTAACATGTATTAATAAAACTTCAGTGAAAATGTACCCTAGATAAGTGACAATTGTCATAATCCTTATTTTTAAAGTTTTTTTGAATTTTTTGATGCAAATGGGTAAAAATATAGAATGTAAATTTGTTAAATTAAGATTTCATGAAGATGTACCACAGAAAAGTGACAATTGTAATAATCTTTATTTTTAAACTTTTTTTGACGTAAATGAGCCATTGATAACATGTTTAAATAAAACTTAAGTGAAGATGTACCCAAGATAAGTGGCAATTGTAATAATCTTTATTTTTAAACTTTTTTTGACGTAAATGAGCCATTGATAACATGTTTAAATAAAATATTAATGAAGATGTACCATAGATAAGTGACAATTGTCATAATCGTTGTTTTTAAAGTTTTTTGATACAAATGGGTAAAAATATAGATTGTAAAAATGTCAAATTAAAATTTCATGAAGATGTACCCTAGATAAGTGACAATAGTCATAATCGTTATTTTTAAAAGTTTTAAAAATTTTTTGAAGCAAATGGGCTAAAATATAAATTGCTAACATGTTAAAACAATATTTCAGTGAAGATGTACCACAGATAAGTGACAATAGTCATAATCGTTATTTTTAAAGTTTTTGAATTGTTTGACGCAGTTGGACAAAAATATAAATTGTTAACATGTTAAAATAAAATTTCAGTCAAAAAAAAAACAAATCGATATTTTCATGCTCATAATCGTTGTTCCTTTTTTCCTGCTTAAAATTTGATAAAAATATGCAAAGTGATTTTTAAAGATAGTTGTAACTTATGTTAAATTCTAAACTTTTAAGATATGGTTTCACAATTTTATTCCTTAGATTTATAAATTTTAATTCTACATTATAAAAATGTAATAACCCTGCATTCACAGTTAACAAATATTTTTGTATACTCGTGGCAAAATAATGCTAAGTCTGAATTCAGGGTAGGATTTTTATAAAAAAACTTAAAAACCATATGAATATTATTTCGTAATATGATACGATACAATCAACATCCTATAAATTTAACGTTAAGATTTTATTTTATATACTATGGTTAAAATGGATTACAATCTATATTTTAACCCATATAAATCAAAAAACTTTAAAAATAACGATTATAACAATTGTCACTTTTCAATGGTATATCTTTATGTTTAATTAACATGTTTACAATCTATATTTTTATCCATTTGCAACAAAAAAATTCAAAAATTAACAACGATTATGACAATCTATGGTACATCTTCACTGAAATTTTATTTTAACATGTTAGCAATTTATATTTTTGCCTTTTTGCATCTAAAAAATTCAAATAATTTTAAAAATAACGATTATGACAATTGTCACTTTTCAATGGTAGATCTTCATTAAATTTTAATTTAGCATGTTTACAATCTATATTTTTACCCATTTGAGTCAAAAAACTTTAAAAATAACGATTATGAATTGTCACTTATCAAGGGTACATTTCACTGAAATTTTATTTAAACATGTTAGCAATATATATTTTAGCTCATTGTTATGGCTGGCAAGGAGTAAAGCAAGATATTACAAAAAGATTTAAAATTTTATTAAATAAATATATTTTTAAAATATTTAACTACAATATAACTGAAAAACTATATTAAATTTATCCTTTATTATATAAAAAAAAACTATTAAATAATTAAATGAAAGTAGAGTACACGGAAGTGCTGCCCAAATTTTTGGTTATATAAATCTATTAGACGAAAATCGAAAATTTACTGAAAAAGTAGAGTACACGGAAGTGCTGCCCAAATTTTTGTCTATATAAATCTATTAGAAGAAATTCCAAAAAAGTTTATTAGAAAGCAAGTTACACGAAAGTGCTGCCGATTTTTTTTTTCAAAAGACGTCAATACACGTAAGAGATTAAAGATTAGCGGAAGGTATTGATTTTTTTTTGAAATTGATAAATGTATATGTGTATTATTGGAGTTTTTACCTTATTGATTTTATCTTATTGTCTGACATTACAAGTAGTTAAGATATTTTTGGTGAAATTAATTATTAATTTTTTGTGAATATTTTATAAAATTTAGTGTTGTTAGAGAAATAAATTAGGAAAAATTTAAATACTTAAATATTTTAATGAAGGGTTTTAAAATTACAAAATATGTGGAGTTGCAATATAATGTATTGGGAGCGGTGGTAGTGTTGATGATATGGTTGTGTAGTTTATATTTTGGAAGGAGAATGCGAAGAGAAAGGAGTATTAGGATTCGTGGGCAATCGTTGTTGGTAGAGGGGCATAATGGAGAGGATGATAGGTTGGGGAGAGTGACGTGGTTACCGGTTCAAGAAATAATGAAGGGTTGGGTCAATAATGAAGAAATTGACCGGTTAAAGAACGAGAGGATAGATGACAGACATTTGGATATATACCGTGGACGTCAAGATATGCCAAGGCCGTTCAACAGTGGGGGACAGAGAGGTCGGAATGGTAGATGTTATAAATGTGGGGAGATGGGTCATATTGCGGTGAATTGTAGAGATGTCAAATGTTTTACGTGTGGGGAGATGGGACATATTTCGACATATTGTCCGGGCAGAGCAGAGAGAATACGTTGCACGGGTTGTGGAAGATTTGGACATGTGTTAAAGGATTGCCGAGTGGGAAAGGTGGAAA